ATACACATGAGAGAAACCGCTACAAATTCAATTACTGCTTTGTAAATGATTTTACCTTATAGAAAAATATAACATAACAATTTATACCCTTAAATTAATGTCTCAGTCCGCCCAGTATTCAATAGAGGAGTCTCCAAAAGGAGACATGTTCATGAGAGATTTTATCTGACATGTAGATATAGTTTATTGCACATTTTTAGTTATAAAAAATGTTTTTGCAACACCACCAAAATGTCATTTTTAATTTAATTTAAGTCAAAGATGTTATAATATACAAAAATGTAAGAAAGCCCCTATTTTTTGTTGGAAAATGTACTTGATTTATTAAAAAAAACAAAAAATGTTTATTGCATTACAAAGCTAACAGATGTTAATTATCAGAGTTCAGGTTCTGCATGAATTTAAATTGTTATTTATATGAAACATGGGTTATAAAAGACAGATTTACACTATTACAAAATACATCTTAATAGCATTATATATACGGCCTCTGTTAAAGGCTTTTATTCTGAAGTCCGTTGTTTTACGAGCCTTGCTTCACTCATGCTGGGTATAGAAATGTGTGACACGGCACAGGAAAGCCAGCCAAAGGAGCAGACAGAGAATCCCAGCACTGCACAAAACGACCATGTTGCAATCAGGAAAAAACAGACTTTCCAAAATGTCTAATGTTTCTTGACTGAGCTTTACTGTCTGCAATAGTTCTCAAAACTGTGTCTGAAAAATATTGTTTACTCAACAGTGTCTGATGCATACACGGCAAATAATGCAAATCCTCATCCAATAAACCTCTGCGCAGTGGATCCACATACGTTGGGTGCAACCTGGCCTGTCGGCAAGCAAAATTTGCCCCCTTAATGATAGTGGTGACTTTTCCATCTTTGCCGTGCATCATTGATCATGATCTACAGGGCAAATTGATCATGGTCTATTGATCTGATTGATTTGTCTATTGATCATGATCAATAGAGCTAGTTTAATCATTTATCCATCAGTACAGTAACCCAGAACATACATAGCTTAGCATCTTCAAGTTAAAAATTCATTGGAAATTAATAAAGATGAATAAAAATCTATCTTTTAAATGTTAATCTACAAGATTCAATAAATTTAGGAAAGTTTAAAAAAATTTGTATTTATTAAGTGTTTTTATTTCTTTTGCTTAAAAAAGTAAAAAAAAAGGTAAGTATGTTCACTTTGGTCATCATCTAGTTTTCAGCTGGAAAGTAGAAGCCACAAAAAAATAAAGCATTACCAGTGGGGCTCGAAGCCTTTAAAAAGGAAACATATTTCTGTCAGTGGAAGAGTTAAAATTGGAGTTTTTACACCTATGAGAAGAGGGTTACGTGATGGCCTGTCAAAACACATCAGTGTCATCCTGTATCAGCTTCCTGCCATGCTCTTCTTAGTGCGTCAACATACAATACTTAGCAGTCATCACCACACCCAGAGCACCTCTCTTTTTGACTCGGTCTCTCACTGACACAGTGTTTGCCTCTCTCGCTCTCTCTGACTCAGAATGACAACTCTAAGGGACAACAAAGCTCGCTAGCTTGATGATTGATTAGATTTTCTTTGAGCCAATTATAATTAACGCCTGGCAGGATAAAATAAAACAGGCGCACGCTCCCATTCGCACAGGACAAAAAGGAGATGAATAACCTTAGCCTTGAGGTTAGGGGTTAAACCAATTTCATACTTCCTTGTTTCAGATTAGAGTGATTTCTACATCAAACATCTACAGAAAACCAGAAAAAATCTTGTCTAAACAAAACTTTTGTCATTCGTGTGCAATTTGAATTACAGCAACAGCAAATTTGTGAATTTATTTAGCGTTCCAGATCCATGAGGCATATTTAAAATCGTTTATTTTCCCAACAACTGTCTATGAAAATTCATTAAAGGCATATTTATCACTTCTGTTTCCAACATGCGGCTGTTTTAAAAGCAACATTCTATAAAATGCATAACTATGCATATAAACAAGGCTGCACAGATGTTTCAACAGAACATCTGTATTGACCAATATCACCTTTTTGACTGCCATCAGCTTATCCATAAATAATATCACAATCCCCGATGACAGAGGCCAGTGTTTTGTTTTTGTTTTTACATATGGGATCTAATTTCTTAGATCTGTATTAAACTTGTTAACTTGTTAGCAGTAAAATGGTTCAATTATTTATTTTTTTTACAGATTTCTTTGGTTGCTGGCAGAGAAGGGAGGGATGAATGGCAACAAAAATGAATAAGCAATAAGCAAAAAATGGCCAATTGGCCAAATTGATATTTTCAAGCTTATATCTCCCTGGGATTTTACAATCTCTGCATCCTAAATAACAAACCTTTGTTCCTTTGCGTGCTGTAAGATGTCAATAGGCAGCCCAGTTGTTATCAGAAGAACTAAGAAAATATCTTGAGGCGATACAGCTTCATCTTACTATGCATCAACCTCTCTTTGGAATAAACTTTGAGTTGGAGTCTTTACAGCTACAGTCTAAACTTATTTATTCTCAGTTCCCATATCATTTTTGTCTTGTTTATAATAAAACTTTGTCCAGTTATTGTATTGCACAAAATTGCTTAGCTGGAATTTTTTTTAAAAATTGAATTAAATGTGATCTGATTACTCTATTGTCGTGCCAAGTGTATGTATGTATGTAAAACTAAAGCTTACATTTTAGATCACCTATATGAAAAACAGAGGCTGCAAAATAGTGCAAAAGTTCATTACAGACATTCAAATCTTTCTTTTTTTCAGTAAATGGCCGCCTTTATTTACGGTGGGACAGATTTCCTGGGTCAGGTTGTGTTTTTAATCATTCTCTGTGAGTTACCCCATTAGATGTTTAAGTAGGGCAACATACTAGGCCAGGTCATAGATTTGCTTTTTTAATTCTTTAAAACCTTTAGCACAAAGCCAGTTTAGCTCCTTGGATTGAGCAGGCAATCTATAAGGGTAATGCAGAGGCTGGATTTGAATCTCCCCCAAGGGCATTTAATGTGTGCCTTCCCCTGGCCTCTCTCTCAGCTCTCCTGCCTTGGCTCTGTTATCCTATTTCAATAAAGGCTAAAAGCCCCCAAAAATATATTAAAAAAGAGAAGTTTAGTATGATGTTGGCAGTGTGCTTGGATCATTATCATGCTGGAATATTCCTTTTCTGCCAGTCTTCTGGAGACTGGGAGTCATCATGTCAGCTAGTATTTTGCTATATCCACAAGCATTCATGGCGCCATCTATCAATGCCATCTCCCCAACACCTTTTATACTTGTGCAGCCCCATATCATCACACTCCCACCTCT